GCTACCATAAAAATATGGAAATTTTATACTTGTAAAAACAGGAAACAAGAATATTCTTAAAAATTCATAAGTGAGATCATCTTTTTACAAGACTCGTTTCGCTCGCCAATTGCTGAAGTCGATGTCATCGTCACCACTACCCTCATCATCGTCTTCGTGAACAGCGGCTTTTTCACGTGCCTTGAAATTCAAGGGTTCAAAGCAATATAAAAACAGTATGGCTTTTCAACTGACTAAAGAAGTGCACCTCTTGTAATCGTGCCTCTTTCAACTTTTCCATAGCATTTAACCGCATCCACTTCTCCATTTGGTCATCTGCATTTGCAATATCACGGAAGAGTGCATCTCGTTCGTCCTCTTCGTCCGCCTGAATTAAGAGGAGCCCGTGATGAATCAGTTTGATGCTAAGGAAGAAGGAAGGCGTAGCATTGAAGACAAGTAGCTTTCAACACCATAACATGATTGCACACTACACATTAACTTCTAGAAAAACATGAAGGATTAGTTTATATATGTTGTGTTTTCTTAAATGATATTTATGCAATCATCGATGCGGGAGAGATACAGAACTCTAATTCTGGAAAGACGTTTGCGTAACTTAGTATTTGTCAAATAACGTGGAAGGTAACTGGTCCCCACACACAGCGCAAATATTCACTTCTGCCTGTTTTAGTTGAAAATTTGGTCATAAAGCAGAAATTTAGCGCGAACGTGCTCGAAGCATGTTATGGAGCGAACATGTAAATGATGTAAGTGTAGTAATAAACAATGTATATGTAAATAAATGTAAATGATAATAAAAATTATACAATGGACTTAGTTCATAAATGGAGTGCAGCTGAGGAGTATAGAACTATACTGATGTGACAAAAACTACTTCAGTACAGATAATATTTAAAACCTTGTATTTCTCGCGCATTTAGGGCATTACTGCAGATGCAAGAAAATATGGTAGACTAGAATCGCAGTAACTATGAGGTAATCTTATCTTAGTCAGTAGAAAAAGAGAAAACTCCAAAACAACGATTACTGACGAGATTTTCATTACGAAAAGGTGGCTGACATGAGAAAACGGACGGCCGTATTGCAAGCCACAATTTATTGAACGTATCTAAAGCTGGTAAAACGAAACACGAGCCTGATGTGTGTTAGTGATAGTGCGTTTCCATGATCCGTGCTGAGGTTAGATATAAAAAAGAAAGTTTTACAATGAGAAAAAGTGAGGAAAGAGCTGATGTACAGCACAGATGTCAGGAATAAAATTGGTACAAACACCAATAAAAGATAATGAGTACTAGTTACAATGAAGTGCAAGGCGATAACCTCTCCGCGCAACTCTCATTTAGAAAGAACTGTTAACAGTGGAGCTGGTCCGCTGGCGGTTTG